AAATCCCAGAAGGAATGGGTTGGAAGCGGAATAAATCATTCACTAGTGAAACTAAGATTTCTTCATTGAGTATGCTTTATGGAATTGTAAATTTAATCCAAAAATTGCTGAATGAAGATCATCAATATATTTTTCCTGGAATATTTCAGACAGATCGGTTAGAAGGACAATTTGAAATGTACAGATAGTTAAATAATTTTTTAACATATTTATGATCAGATTGACATTGTTATTATTATATTTAAGCAGGGTTGGACTGGCACTGAAGGGCCCGGGGGCAAAAATAAATTAAATCCTTAATGGCATAGTTTTTAGTTATAAGTAGAAATAACTTTGCTATTTTGTAACATCAAAAATGTTATTTCATAGAAATAACTACCATATTAATTGTATTGTCTTTACAAAATTGATGTATATAAAATATAATTATTACTAATTTATATGTATTTTTTGTGGCAGGGGCTCTGGGGTAAATCCCTCCCAACCCCCCTCACTAGTCTGACCCTGCATTTAAGAACACTAATTTTCATATGTATCTTTAAATTAATTCAAATTATATAAAGTTTAGATTTTTTTTATGCCAGGCAACTTTGTAGAGGCAGTTATCATGTTTTGGTTAAAGAAGTTAAAAATAGTCTTCGTTTACAACGCCTAAAGATGTTAAGTAAATTAGATGCTATGGGTATACCTTATTCTCAATGCTCAATTATTCAATCAGAGTGTTGTCAATTAGATCTGAATGAGGACAACATTAGTTATCTTGATATGTCTGTCTCTTCAATTGATGCAATTTTCGAAGAAGAAAATGCTGCCCTATATTACATTTCAGGTTATGTCTAGCATAAATTTTCACCAAGTATATTCGTATCTGGTACCTTTTTTACCAATGCATCTGAGTTTACTGAGTTAGTTTCTCGTGGTCGATTATGTCACCCTACTGAGGATATACTTCAATATGTCAGATATGTGTATTCTCTTTTTATTTTATTACATAATGCAGAGATGCGGTTCCAGTACATTAGATACATTTCTAAATTTTTTATATATTTGTATACAGCTTTACCTTTCGATTTACAAGCATTACAAATCAACACAGTTATTCTTACCATTTTGAATTGTATTTTCAAGGGTCTAACGAAATTGGATGACTCATCAGACAAAGTTTCTTTAAATATTCAAGACCGCAAAGTTAAAAAGTTTTGCAAATAAATAAAACAATATGTAGTTAAAATAGTTTTTTTTTAAATTGTTAACATTGTTTTAACACAGAAGTTAGATAATTTTAGATAATCTAATTTTTGTTGTTGTTGAATTTTGAAAATTCTCATATTTATAATTATATTTATTATTTATAATTTTTATATTTATTAATGTTTGAAGATTAATAAATTATGAACTAATTTTAATTTTTAATGAAATGATTTTAATGGTTTCAAGTAATTAAAGTTTAAAGTTGCTAATTTAAGTATCTTATAAGATCCTTTTATTTACTGCATAAGACCCTATGATTAACTACATAAGATTATTTTATTTACAAATTAAAGATTAAAGTTACTGATCCAGGTCTTATAAAAATAAGATTCCTTTTTTGCATAAATTGACATTTTTTTTTTTTTTACATTTATTTTGCTGTTTAACAAATATAATCAACACATATATATATACAAGAAAGAAAGAAATATGTCCGTATAACAAAGAAGACAGTAAAATCTTGTCAACAAGCACCGTTTTTGTATATACAGTATATAAAATAAACTATACTTTTTTACAATGATCTTTATAAAATAAAGAGTTAAACAGACAGGGGCTCAAAGAAGATGAAGATGAAATGTCATCGCAATCTTTTCATAGAGCCCCCTATATACATTTTCATTAGGTTATGGATATTAAATTAAATTAAAAACCCTAATGGGCATAAAACTGCTGTGCTGATCAATAAAAACAAATAAATAAGATTATAAAGAAAATTACTTTGTAATCCTTTTAAGCACAAATAATAATCAAATTTTAAAAATTTCTTTTTTTATCAGAAAATTAAATGAACTTAATGACTTTGCCATACATTTAGATCCTTTTTAATATCTATTCCATATATTTGGCCCCCGATATGCAATGCTATATTCAGTATATTTACTAAGGTTTTGAGGCAGTTTATATGTGTTACTTATATTTGCTCTTAGATAGTAGTTTTCATTTATGTTTATTTCAAACTTGTTAGTAAAGTTTGTAGGAGAGAGATTATTATTAAATTGATACATAAAAATTAAATGCTGATAGATATTTATTTCAAAAACATCCATCATTTTCATATCTTTCATTATAGGTTTTGCATGCTCCCGCTTATTTTTAAAGTAAATGATTCTGCATGCGTGTTTTTGTAGAATATAGATTTTTTTAAGTTTTGATGGCTGAGTACTTGCCCATGATATGTTTGCATAGCTGATAAAGCAATGAATTAGTCCAAAGTAAATTAGTTTTAGACTTTGTTTATTGATATATGAGCGAACTCTATACATCATACCAATTATATTACTGATTTTAGATTGAATATATCTTATTTGAGGAAGCCAGGATAGCTTCTCATCAACAAGAACTCCTAAGAATCTAATGCTGGCTTGTTTTTTAATTAAGTTATCATTTAGGATAAGGTCAGGCAACTTAAGAGGAAGGTTTTCTTCTTGCGCCTTTTTATGAAATAATATATATTTTGTTTTCTCTGAGTTAAGCGAGAGTTTGTTAGCTCTAAACCAGTTATTTACTTTAATTAGTTCGATATTCATGTCTGCATATAGATTCTTGATATCACTGTTAGTAAGAAATAGATTTGTATCGTCAGCAAACATGACTGAATTTAGTTTTAAAGATGCATTGCAAAAATCATTTATAGAAATTAGAAACAGAAGTGGACCAAGGATAGATCCTTGGGGAACTCCACATAAAACATTTAATACTCCAGATTGTATATTGCACAAATATTGTTTTCTATTGGTAAGATAACTTTTAATCCAATTGTAAGTTTTATTAATTATACCATAGTATTTTAGTTTATCTAATAGGATGCAGTGGTCAACTGTATCAAAAGCTTTTGATAAGTCAATAAAAACTCCTAAAATAAATTTGTTTTGATTAAAAACATCGGTTATTTGATTAACTAATTCAATAATTGCATGCTCTGTTGAAAGGTTTTTTTGAAATCCAAACTGGTTTGGGTAAAATATAAATTTAATGAGTTTAAGATGTTATTTAATGAGAAACAAAAAATAACTCTGAATAACTGTTAATATTAGTATCAAACTGCTAATATTAGTATCAAAACCAATTAAATGTTAAACTTCAATAAAATCTTTTTGAACATATTCAAATCTCAGCCCTCTTGTCAAAATTGCATGAAATCGAAGTTGCGTGTGCCCGTATTTTAGTAGTCCCTGTATTTTTTTTATTTGAAGATGAAAGTGTTTATATAAAATAAATGCTGTTATTTTAATGTTTGTTAATTTTTATACTTTTTGTGCAGAAATTTTTTTGTTAATAAACTCATGACAAAATGTCTAATTTTACATTGTATGAAACTTCTGTGAGGTAACAATGTCAACGAGAGTCCTTAATTCATAGTTTTGATGTTTCTTTGTTATATATTGCCAAAAACATACAAGTTTATCCCCTTTAGGGTTATCTATACAAGTTTATCCACTTTAGGGTCATCCATTTATACTTCAAGTATTTTTTAATCACTCAAATCAGACATACAGAATTTAAACATATTTAAAACACTTTTTCCAATGAATTCTGAGATATAATATCTTGCACACAGTATTACTCTCTTTATTCAAGAATTTGAGTTACTAGATTTTGTTTGGTCACAGGAAAAGTTATTGTCAATTTCACTATCTGGAAACATGAATGCATATTGTTTAGACTTATTCTCATTTGATCTAAAAAGATATTTGCTTTGAATAATTTCTAAACACCAAATTAAATCAACTTTATATATAAGAATGAAATGTTACATTGTTTTGATGGTTTCGTGAGTCTAATTGCACAACACAACCCTCTTTATGCAATCGCTCAATGTACCTTTAAACAAAGTTTGCATCTCGTAATGCTGAGATTTTTATCTTTAGAGGCCAAGAAATATATCTATCATTACTTACCAAATTTTCCAGAAATTACTTTTATATTTAGGCATTTAAAGGTAATTGGTGAAAAACATAAAATGATCTTTGTATTCAATATCAAGTTTGTTTAATATATAGCTTATGTTTTTTTTCCCTGAAGTATTTATATTTAGCTGAAACTAAAAAAGAAGACTGATTGAATACTCAGACTCCCCTATATAGGTGTTCCTCTTTAGAGAAAACAAAATTAAAATATTGACAGGAAGTGAAATATTTTTTTTTAAATTTTTTTATTAATCATTGCATGAAATTTAATAATTCAAATATTTAACTGCATTAATATAATAAAATTTAAAAAAGTTAATTATAATGTTAACATAATGCAAATTAAAAATTACCTCAATATAATAATCCTTTTTTTTTATAATTAAGAATAAGAATAAAAAATATTATAATTTACAAAGAATATAAAAAATAATTATATTAAATTATATAATAAACTTTTAAATAAAAATTTAAAAGTTTATTATATAATGCGGTAGTGGTGTAGTGGTAAGAGTGCTCGCTTTGTAAGCGAGAGGTTCGGAGTTTAACTTCCACCATGTCCCTGGAAGTACCGCGCTCAACTTAATTTCTCCGCGCAACGGCCTTGCTTGTCAAAGTTCTTGTTTCGGAGTAAGAGAGTTGAGAGAGGGTTGTACCACGATTTACAACAAAAAAAAAAAACAACAGATAAAGAGTAGCCTCCTCAACTGTAGTGGCCCCCTTGGACCTTGAGGAGGTGAATAATTAAAAAAAAAAAATATGTATATAAGAATATAAAAAAAATATTATAATTAAACAAACTTAATTTAATAAAAACAAAAAATATTATAATTTACTCACCCATTGCTGCACCTTGTAACAATCTTGTTACTAAAGCCCAAGTAAATGAACGACTGAAAGCAAACAAAAATGTGAAAACAGCAATGCCAGAAGATGAGAACAGCAACAACTTCTTTTTGCCGAACTTATCAGCTAAGTAACCCCAGACAAGGCTTTAAAAAAATAAAAAAGTATTCAATAGAAAAATAAAAGTTAAAATAATAAAAAAATATAACAGGAATTGAAAATTTTTTTAAACAATTATAGCAATAAACTTAACAAACATTTCTGCACAATTATTTTGTGACATAGTATGGTTATACAATATTACATAACTTAGTCATTAAAACGTTAGGTGAATCCTTCATTCTTTTAGCAGATTTATTTTACCCAAGTGAGTTTTGCATTTGAAAATAATTTAAAAAACTACAATAATTCAACAATGCTTTTAAATTTGTTTGATGTCTTTAATATTAAATACAACTGACTGCAACAAAATTAGAAGCACTTAACGTTCACATCTTGAAAAAACAATTAGTCCTTTATTACACATATAATAGGTAATAAATTGTATCATAACTTATCGGAATAAAATGATTTCATCAAATTTTGAGTTATTTTATTTATTCATTTATTTTTTTAATTATGTTTAAATAATATACTATATTTATATATTATAATTTAAAAAATTCATTTTTTTTTTCATCATCTTCGCTTCCAACAAGGCTGCAAGCAACCACTAATTAGTGTTAAAAGTTACTGGAAGAGAAAAGATGAAGATTCTAGAGCAAGATAATGATTGACAGACGACTTAAAATATTGCAAATTAAATGAACCAGGAAAGCAAGATAAAGGAAGGGAATTCCAAAGAACTGATGTTCGAGGGAAAAAACAGGACGAATAAGAGTTTTTGGAGCACTTAAGAACAGTAACAGAAAAAGGATGAGACTTAATTGAATGACAAGTAACAGGAGAATGAATTTTAATAGATGGTACAAGAGACACTAGCTCTTTAGAACAGTGCCCATTATAGTATTTATAGAAAAGAGAAAGAGAAGATGCGACAAAGGTTGAAAATTTGGCTGCAACAGCAGTTCCAACTATGTTTACAATACGTTTTTGCACCTTGTTAAAAAGGGAAAGGGCATCATTAGAAGATCCGTCCAAGATATGACAACAGTATTCTATACAAGGACGGATTTGAGATTTATAGAGATAGTGAATAGAATCCAGAGTTAGAAAGTGTCGAGCTCGATAAAGAGATGCAACTTTAGCAGATGCAAATTTTGCAAGGGATTTGATATAAGGTTTCCAAACAAAATCAGAAGTAAGAGTTAATCCTAGAATATGAAGGATAGATGAGTCATCGAGTACATTACCGTTCATAAATATAGGAAGGTCTAAATTATTGCGATAATGATTGGCTGAAAAAAATTGAGTTTTATCTGAATTAAAGTTCACCAGCCACTGTAAGCCCCATGCTGTAGCAGAAGTGAGTTCCTTTTCAAGTTCAAATGCTCCCTGCAAGCAATCAGAGGGAGTTGGCATGCCAAACTTTATCAAACGCTTTAGAAATGTCAAGAGCTATGGCCTTAACCTCTCCACTTTTATCTAATGCGCAATAAAACCTATTGGTTATTACTTTTAGCGAATCAGCCGTAGAACGAGAAGATCGAAATCCATATTGATGATCAGAAAGTAAGTTATTAGATTCAAGACGAGAGATTATGTGTTTGTTAATTAAAGATTCAAAAACCTTGCTTATGATAGGAAGAAGACTAATGGGACAGTAGTTAGACAAATCAGATCGCTCTCCAGAATTTTTCAAAATAGGGATAACAGATGCTGCTTTCCAGCAGGCTGAAAAACAAGACTCTGATAAGCACTTGTTAAATAGTTTTGAAAGAATGGTAGACAGCTCCGAAGAACACTTATGCAAGACTATAATAGATATGTTGTCTGGGCCGCAAGCTGTAGAAGAGTCTTAGCAGAAAATCACTTTAGATACAGGAGCTGGAGTGATACGGATGTTGGGCAATGGATCAACCTGTTTGACGGCTATATTAAGTAAAACGCAACTAGTGGAATCAAGAGATGATATTGATGAAAAGTTCTTAACAAACAATTCAGCTTTATCTTTAGGTGAGGTGACAAAGTCTGAACCATACAAAAGAGGTGGAATTACACACTTGCCCTTATTATTGATACTATTAAATATTCTCCAGAAGTCACAAGAGCCTAATTTTTGAGATGAAATATGAGATTTCATGATCTGAGAATAGCGGGCTTTGGCGTTAGATAAAACCCTTTTACAATGGTTTCTAGCAGTAATAAACTGACTTCTGTTTTCTGGAGAATTGTTTTGCTGATAGATATGGAAGTAATGGTTTCGATTGGCAATTGCAGCAGCACAATGTGAAGAAAACCATGGAGAAGAGTAAGGCCTGACCTGGAATTGTTGAAAGGGAATAAAGGATTCCATGCCAGCCTGAATCCACTAAGTTATGTAAGAAGTACATTTGTCAACAAGAAGCATGTGACTATTTGAGTCTTTACGAATTAAAGGAAGATAACCATCAACACTAAGATCACAAGATGAGACAGCTGAACTCAAATTAGTCTTACAAATAGCAAGTAGGTCTGGTGAACTTTGCAACAGATAAGACAGAAGAAAAGTTACTTCAAAGACCACAAATATTAGTGAATGATATGTTAAGCAAACTTGGTGATGACTGTGGTTTTTTGTGCTTTATAGTTTTTGTTACTTTATTTTTAAATTTTTAAAAAAACTTGACTCGAAACAAAGATAGTACTCAGTACCCTGTTTAATAGCCCAAGCAAATGCCTTATTACTATTAATAAACCCGAAGCTGTAACAAAGGGCTCTGATGTGGCCTTAGCAATGCACACCAAAAGTACAAACAGGGACACCATCCATGCGCAACATGGCACTGTATGATATTTTACAGCTGTTGGTGGAATCACCCTCTCTGAGAGCTACCACAGAGTTCGGGAAACCTGACTACCTGCCGGCCTCAGAACCATAAAACTGAGTTTTAGACTCTTGTCTTGACTAAAAATCTTCACTTTTTAATTGCTTAGAACAAGCAGCCAATTTTAAATCTAATCTCTCTTCTGTAACAGCCTAATGCTTGCAGTAGCTTATGGATTTAAATTATGGACTTAAAATCCACAATTTTTGTTAAACAACAAAACTCTTTTATTTACTGCAAAAAAAAGTAGCAATAATGTTAGCATTCTTATATTAGTGAATAACATCCCTCTTACAGGACATTGTAAATGTAACTAGATCTGCTTTATCTGCCAAGCATGAGCCACTCTCCCATTGTTGTAAGGTTGCATTTCTTTCTTTTTTCTACAAAAGCTACCATGGTCAATGCTCAAATGAGCTAATATCTCTATTACAATAAACCAAAACTCATTATTACTTGGCTTCTTATTCAACAACTTTTACTGTATCTTTCTTTTCATACTATAAAAACTTTTATTAATCAAGTTTTTTTCCCTTGCACACCAAAAAAACTTATACCCATAATAAAATTACTCATACCCATCTTTACGTTTTCTTTTTTTATACAATATACAACTTTATAAGTCTTCAGTTATACATTTCCTAGTATTTTAACTTATTCTCTATTTTAAAGTAACTCATAACTAAATAGTGGTTGCTTGCAAATAAATGTTGGAAATAAATTTAAGTTTAAAAATATATAAACTTTGCCAGTATTTAATAAATAGTAAATGTAAGCATAAAATTATAATATATTAAGTATTATACATTTTTTTCTAGCCCCAGCTATCAATCTCCTGCCCCAAAAAGTTGTTACAGTCCTATCACAGAGCATCACGGAAGAGCATTTGAATAGAAGTTTTTGCCTCCTTCCTTACCAATGTTATAAAACTTGTCGAGATGTTACATTAAACCATGGATATCTAGTTTTTGAGGCTTATGGGGAAAGGGGGTGGTGGGTTTAGCTCCCCCACAACCTATCCTGAATCTGCCACTGCCTCTGTTCACAATTATTTGCTTATTTAAAATGCTTAAAATTAATGGTCATTCTAGGAAAAAACTCTTGAAATGAACTATATTCTGGTGTTAAAACAGAAAAGAAATAATATAAACAAGAAATAATTATGTTTGTAAAATTATTAGGAAAATTAAAATTAATTGATGAATATTAATTTAAGAATAGTAAAAAAATATTTTATCAACTTGTTGCCCTCACATTTGGGGCTAAGGCGTTTCAAATTTTAGGGTTATTTTTGTTCCCAGGCTCTAACCATCACAATTTTTTGCAATATATAAATATTTAGCATAAGTATAAACATATAATTGTTTGGAGTTTTCTCCATGTCTGCATAGTAGACTAAATTTAATCTCAAATGAAATGTTAGCTATCTCAAATAAAAAAATGCAATCTTTCTTAATTAAAATTTTATTGAGTTGTTTTATTTATTACAAGTTATTTTAGACCATTCATAAATTATGCCAATTTAAATTAATTTTGACCAAAAAATAAAAAGTTTTACTTAGCGGAGTCATAAATTAAAAAAAAATGTAAGTAGCCATTTAACTTCAATAAAAATCAGCAGGCAAAGTAAAAATGGTTTTTGCAATGCCAAGTTTATTTAATTTAAGATTTACTATTTAAAGGAAATAATTTTGGCATTGAATAATATATGGGCATACCCATTAAAAAAAACTCATAGTATTACTAATTGAATATCCTTTATAAAAAAGAGTTTTTCTAGAATATAATTAGGACTGTTTTGTGAGAGCAGTTAAATACCCAAACTTTAAACTTAAACAATGAATTGGTTTTGTAATTTGTAAGTATGATTTCTAAAGTTAACTCTTCGAATCACACAATGCCATTCATCTAGATTTTTTAAACTTTATTGTAGTTTCATGTTGTAATGTGTGACTTATATCAGGAATGCAATCAAGAGCATTAGAAAAATACTTTAGCTTTTTAACCAATAAAATGACTTTGTCTTAGACTTTTAACTATTGATTAATCATCAAATGTTACATAATTATGTCTGTACATATCTTTAAATATGTCTCTCATACATTATAAAATCAAACTTTACTTTTTTCTTATTAATACAAACTTTTTAAAAAGTTTGATTTCAAATTTACATTGCTTTTTTGGCTCCTCTAAAAATGTTGCGTCATAAAAAAAATAAAACTATGAGGAAAACAAAACATAAAGCTGATTCATATAGAAAAATAAAGGTTAGTTAAACCAAAAATATATTCAAAAACTATTCAAAAACCTGCTAAAAATTCTAGAAAAAAACAAAGATGAAGCAACCAATCCAGCATCTTTTATATTGATGACAGACAAGTAACTTTTTTTTCAAGTTTTCACTGAGTATATTATTGTTAAATTTCTTCTGATAGAATTTTAAACTGTCGATTTATTTGGAACCACCAACACAATAATGAATGAAAAAATAAACCTACCTTTAATTTTCATTAATTTCTTTTTAAAAAGTGCTAACAACCATTATCACCTTTGTTCCAATAGGAATTTAAACCTGTCTGTCTCTAAACACCGCTATCATAATTACGGGCATAAATCCATAAAATATTAAAGCACTAAAACTTGGAGCGACTTTCCTTACGAACTAAAATCTTTCAATTTGTTCTCAACCTTTAAAACCAGTTTAATTCTACTTTTTATCAACAACAAAAAAAAAAATTAATGTTTATAATTTCTATAATCAATTTTTGTTGTCTTAAGTATTTTTTTTTTTTAAATCTATGATAAATAACTTATAAAACAATGATAAAAATTGTGCTGCGTTATTTCTTTCAGAAAAATAACTCTAAATTACAGCTGCAGTTGTTTCGTCAAATATTGTCAATGTTGATCTTTTAATAAACTTTAAGAAATATATTCCCTGCAATGTAATCAGCAGTAACTTAAATAAAAAGAAAAAAAAACAAAAACAGAGTTTATCTAATAACAAGTATGTTTTAAACACTCCTTTTCTAAACTAAATGATAAATTAATGATTTTCCATCTCCAGTATATGCTTTATGAAACTATAAAAAAGCATTAACATTTGTAGAATGGTTATCGGTAACAACAGCTCTTATCTTAAATTCAGATTGATGCATTGAGGTAATACACTTATCAATTTCTTTTTTCAAACATAAACCTGTTATGTAAACTTTAGGTGAGGATATCAAAACATAAATAATTTTTGAAACCCTACAATCATAAAAACAAAAACAAATTCTTTATAAAGATTATTTTTTCAATCTTCATCAAATTGTTTACCACTTTGGGCTGCTTTTGAAAGTACATCTTACAGCTAACACTTTTGGAAGTACAACCCACAAGAAGCAAATAATCACTTTTATACAAATAATACCAATTTTAAATATTTTCTTAACTTTAAACATAATGGCTTCCTATTGACTTTCCACCAAGTCTTTTAAGCTTACTTTATTTCTCAGCCAGATCAAGAAATTCAATAAGTAATCAGATCACGCTTGGATCATGCAGTTGTGTCAAATATTTGTTATCAATTTTGCTAAAGATGTAATAATACTTTCAAGTATACATTTCTCAGTAGCAAGGTCCAAAGATTAAGAACCAACAACTGCATTTAATCTGTATTAGGTACATTTTAGATTGGTTGCTGTAAATAATTAGATTATTAAAACATAAATAAAGATCAAGATTGAAATCAATATCATAGCAAAATTTTGTCTTATTCATCAAGTCAAATTTAAAAGTTATGCTGTGAAGGAACATTTTCTGATATAGAAGACCATTCTTATTCCAAAATAGAATAGATTGATTTACTACACTAATTTAAACACTAAAAATATGATTAATAATGGTTCCCTGTGCACCTATGTAAAATTTTGTTATGGCACAAGAAATTTGTTCTGTTCATATCTGTTCATAAACGACCAGAAATCAACATTATAGAGGTTAATTATAAAAAACTAATGTATCTTTGGAGCTACATAATTAAATAGCTAAAACCTTTTGACTTCATTATTAATAATATTACTACAAAATATAATAAAACAATTAAAAAAAAAGTACAACATTAAAAAATATCCGGATTTTTAGCTAAACCAATCTTTTTTTCCTAACTTAATCTAATTAAATACTACAAGTTATTTTTTAAATAAAGTAAAATCTTGTAAAAGAAAAAACAAAACAAAAAAAACGACTACACAAATATAATCAAAATCTAATTGTTTATTAATTTAATCAAATCTTCTTTAAGTAAAATTTACACTAGGGCAACAGCCTGTCTGTAAATTCACTATAACAATATTATGTTAATAATATAGTATTTACATAATATTATATTATTAATACAATAATCTAATATAAATGATAATATACTATAGCATAATCATTATATTTTACTTGTATGAACAATATATAAATTGTAATAATTCAATAAAGAACTTTATGTTTAGCCAATCTTACCGGTTGTTTTTAAGCGCTTGATAGGTGTTAATTTGACAAAAAAAATTAGAATAGTCAACCAAATTCTTTGTTCATTTACAAATTCTTTCTTTTCAGAAATAATTTTAAAACTATTATTATTAACATAGCTATGTTAAAAGTAATAGTAAAAAATCATTATCGAAACTGTTAGCTGCAAAGCTTTAAAAACATTTTTTTACTTATAGCTTTATTGGACTTGGGCAATTTTATTTATCCATCGTTTTGAAATTAAAAATGAATTTTGAAAGGATGCGTGACATTTGTGTTTAGACTTGCATCGATCAAGTTTAGTATTCAATCGGTACGTTTGAACCATAATGATATCAAATAAAAGACTATTTTAGAGATGAACAGACTGGGAAGTACGTAGGACGTTATAAATAATACGCGATGCTAATTATTTGCATATTATTAAGTTTTTTACAGCGTGGCTTTGCGAAAGAAGCCAATGTTGTGCTTGCATATTTGATAACCAGAGCAACATATGTCAAGGAAGTAGACGCTTTGAAAGTGAAGGAACAGATTTTAGCATATATAAGACCATGACATTTCTTGATTAACTTTTTAATATGAGATCTTAAGGTTAAATATTTACATATGTAAGTACTAAAAAGTAGTGTTGTCGCAAGTCAATTTTTCATACGTATACAGTTCAAGTTGTGGAACTTATCCTAAAGTTGTTTTGAGCGTTAGGAAATAGATAAAGCAAATCAGATGTTTTCCAAACACAAATTTTTCTTTTTAAACCCAAAAACGAAAAGTTTGTTTTCAAAACGCGTTATGAGCAATTTTGTTTTCAAATGTAGCACTATAAAAATCTACGTTTTTTTCTGTCTCAATCATGGCGATCTATACTGAAGGCCTATTCATCGCGCAACCGTAAGCCGTAACTGGGGGCCTATTATTTTTTTCCAATTTAAAGTTTTTTAACAACTCTGCTTTAATAATTTATAATCTTGATTCGAAATATCATTTTTTAATAAATTTAATTAGTCAATATAAAAACACTTATAAATGAAAAAAGCAACAATGAGTTCTCATTTTTTATTTAATGAAAAAGAAAAGTTAAAAACAAAGAAAATAGTCTCAATAGTCTTATCTCAAACAATATCAAATAAACATTGTTTTTTTTCTAAATAAATTTATGACAACTTCAACACTTTTAATGCTGGCTCTTTATTAGACCTCGGTGTAATTTGTGCACAATAATTGTTTAAAAAAATATTAGCAAGTGTGTTACAATAAGTGTGTTTAATTTCAAAAAAATAAAATTCTGAAACTAACAAAAAGATATCACTCAAGGACTGCCGACATACTTTATCTTTAATAGAGTGAAACAAAATAAAACAAAAAAAGACCCATTGGCATACATTGTCTAGTGGAATTTTAAGACCACCACGATCTATAGAATTAAGGTAGCCACCAAACTTTTCATAATAAAGCATTGTTTGTTCGAACAAGTTACTTTCATTGTATTCATTTCTACATACATAACCAGCAATATATATCAAAGGCATTTTGGTGGAATCAGATATTGATGATTCTAGTTTTTCTAAATTGTCAAATATTTCACTACCTGCCTCACATAAGACATATGTGCAAGAGGGGCAATTATGACCCGAAGATAAATCAAAATAATCAACATTTTGAGATAATAACAGCGATGTGTGATTTAAATGCAATTTTTCTATAATTTGTTGAACATTTATGAAATAGGTACCCCCACAACCTTGTCTATATTTCCCAAAATCTTTTTCTAAATGGTCACTTGTAAACATACCAAGAAGAACATAATCATGACTAGTTTCTAATAAGTGTTTACACAGTTCAATGGTGCCATAACAAGTATGGTGAATTGCTTTTGCAGTATCATTAGTTCAAAATTTTTCACCAAGTTGTTACTTTTTTTATAAAAATTGCAGTATCTTTTGAGTTTGACTCAGTAAGGCATGATATGTTTTATCTGAAAAAACTCTAAGACAAGTAGAAACACTTTGTCTTTCTATTGGCTTTGGAGCTATTGCAACTTCATTTAAGTCTGATAATTTGACTAACTTTTCTGATTCTAATTTATATAAGTATTTAAGGTGTTCTCATTTGGCTGTTCTTTGAACACCATTATCATTGTACAGTAGTTCCCCAGCTTTTTCTGTAAGCCATAGATTTCTAATGTTTTTCAAAAGGTGAACAAAGTCAAACAGTAAATACATCCCATCCTCTGTTTTCCAAGGCTTTCCTGGAATAGTACGATATAATCTAAAAAAAGCCTGATTTACACGATTACCATCACATATAACAACTTTGACATCACCAGCAGATGCTTTTATAAGTCTTACTGTGGAGTTTATTTGTTCAAACAGAAAGCTTGAGTTTAATTTTGAAATTGGTATCATCTTATATAGAAATTTAGGACCACCTTTAAGACAAACAACCATAATTCCCAACACAGTTTTAGCTAATAACGAAGGATCATCTAAAGATTTACCGAATAATGTTCCACCATGGTACAGCAACATCTTTTTCACATATACTTCATCATGAATAACTATACAAATTCTCTTTTTTTCTTCAATGCTATTTAATACTGAGTTCAAAAAAATGGCATCATCAATTTTAGAAACTTTTGATGTAATACGTGTCAAAGTACTAATTGAAGGCAATTGAAAATCATGTCTTAATTGATTATATAAAACACGAGATGTCAAAAAATATTCGAAACTACGTATAACTACATCTGAGTCATATATTTTGTTTCCAATAAGTTTTGCAGACATAACTGAGATTTGTTGTTGAATAATCTTTTTCTTATGATCTGTCTCCATGACGTTTAATAAATGTATAATTTCCTCAAACTTTGACCAGGAATCAACAATAGTTATACGATTTCTAGATAAACTTTTTATAAAACATTTTACTCCTGAATGGAAAGTTTCAAAATGCAAATTCTCAAAAATTTTAACAAGAAATTGAGGAATACCATTATTAAATATAACAGATTAAATAGTAATTGTTTTTCCACCATCTATGTTACCAATGGAAATGAAAATGTTCTGAGATTATTTAATAAAACATCTTTAAAATCATTATATGTTGCCATATCAGCAAGTGAAAAAGTTCTGAGTTCATCAGTTCCAACATTTCGAAAATGACTTAAAGATTTCTGGGTTGTTCGCAGACGTGGTAATGGAGTAGGTATTTGACTTATAGGTATTCCAGGCCATACAGTTGGTGGAATCTTTGGTTGTTGTTTTCCATGTACAGTAACTGTTTCAAAACATGTTTGCCAATGCAATTGGCAAATAACAGTTTCATCTGTAACTAAAAGATTCGAATTTGGAACACTTTGAATCCAAATATTTCTTTGTTCTTTATCTTTAGGAAATCGATAAACTGGTACTTTTTCAAAGCTTTCATTATTTTTGGTGCTTTGATAGTTTGTTTTGCAGCCATATACACAACACTTTTTAGGCATCTGAAAGTATAAGTTATTGTAGAGATTATAAAAGTAAGCAATTAATAACATAAGGTGATTCAACTATAATAGATTTTCAGCCAAAATGAAGACATAAATAATGTAACTCTTTTACTAACTTTTCAACTCCTAACATTAATTAACGTTAAGAATTAAAAAGTTGAGAGTAAAATTACAGATTAAAATTATTTAATAAAATTTATAACATAAAAACCATTAAATTAAAAACCACAAATATTTGATGATATAAAAGAATAAAAAATATTAATTTTAAAATTCTCTAGAAAGCTTTACAACGTGCATGCTTTTAATCTACGCATTTTTATACAGACTATTATAGGCCCCCAGTTACGGCTTACGGTTGCGCGATGAGTAGGCCTTCAGTATAGATCGCCATTGTCTCAATCTAATATAATAAACAAATGAAAAAGCTAGCAATTTTCCTGAAAAGTTAAATAATTGATATACTTGTTATATTAAATTGAAAACAAATGTTCATACTCTTTAAGATGTCGAAACGGAAGATAGAATCAGGGGCGATTACAGGAAAAAAGGGGAGAGACAAATTAGAAAAAAGTATTGAATGCTTTCAATAAAATGAAAAATGCCTTAAAACTGCAAATCACTTGATTGAAATGTGTTTAATGCTTGATTAACCGACTATATTATTAAAAACTAAAATTTCAAAATTGCTCTCTTCAGGGGAGAGGGAAAGTTATATTTCCCTCGACCTCTCGTAGAAACTCTTCTAGATTAAAAATTAGTGAAGCTATGGTCAAAGTAAGTCTAAAAAAAAAATTTTTGTTTTAGTTATGTAAAAAATTTAAAAAAACTTGAGATCAAAGATTTGCACGAGTCCAAAGTTATCATGTTTAAATATTTTTATTTAAAAGCAAAATTTGGTTCAAAGTAAAACCCAAATGTCAAAAAAGAAAGTATAAAACCATAATAAAAATTTCAGTAAAAATAAATAAATAATTTGACTAAAATAATAAATCCAAGGAATATATTTTTAATTTTATTTTTTTATTCGTTTTTGATACGTACAATTGACTTTTGAAGGGGCCGCTATGTAATTGCTTTTTTTTCTTTTTGTTGGTTTTAAATAAGCGTAACATATCATGATTTTTGAAATTTGACTAACACCAAGAGGACTCCATCTCATCTTTCATCAAATCAAAAAAAAAAAAAAAGTGTTCCATGGTATCCAATTCTAAACCAACCCTTCTTGAAATAGCAATACTTATATAATACTTCTTATATTTATATCAAACAATTTTCTGTTCTTACATTCTTATTACAAAGGTTTATTCAGCGTTTTTTACAGTTTTTTTTCGAGGTAAAAGACTGTCTTCGTTTAAACAGCCGTGATAATCTATTTTTTTTATCAATATGTAAACCCATCCTCAAACCAACCAAATCCAAGAAATTATATTGTGGGTCGACCTGTTTTTATTGCAAATTACGTATTTCGTAATCAATTATGTTTTATTTCATCTATTGTTGTATATATATATATATATATATATATATATATATATATATATATATATATATATATATATATATATATATATATATATATATATATATATATATATATATATATATATATATATATATATATATATATATATATATATATATTAAAATTATGGAGCTGTATCTAAAAAAACTGTTACCTGCCTGAACTTCTGAAGCTCCAAATGTCTAAAAAACAAAATTTAAAATAAAATATAAAAACATTTAAACTTTGTAATAAAATTACTTTACTTTTAACTATTGTTTACTTTTAACCTCATTTTATACAACATTTTTTCATAAATTAGTTAATGCTTGCAGTATAAGCAGCTTTGTAAAATAAATAATCATATATTTTTTATTATATGCTTATCGTATAAAAATATTTTGGTCAGACATTTTTTAGACTAGTAAAAAAGAAAAAAGACAAAACAAAAAGTTTCGAATTAAAATCCCAATACACACCTTAAGAAATATTTAACTTTTTTTTTCAAACACCTTTTAAAACATATAGTTCATTAAATTTTTATTTATATCTCTAAAACTTGCTATTTTAAATAGCAAGATTTAGAGATATAAATAAAAATTTTATGAACTATATGTT